GGAGGGGGGCACTTTGATAAGTTTAGACAAAGTACGAGCTGATGATGAGATGCTATCAGGCGTCTATTTGCGAAATACAAGGTGATTGAAACTTAGTCACAAGGGCTTCGAGGTTTCAAGGCGCCTGATATCAGAAAATCTTCTCATCATTGACGGTACATATTCGGTTATACTGACACCAGTAGATGACTCCAGAGTTACGTTGCAATTTGCTATAATTGCGTGTGATTTAAGATATATCAGAAAACAAGCATAACATTCTAATTAAGCGCCGTGATCTCATAGGTTTGAGATGATAAAAAAACTGGTCCTGATATCTCCTCAACTTTGTTTAAAGAGATATTGAACTACAGTCGCGATAAGAATTTACAAAAGCTTGACCAAAGTTGACCGCAAAACTCCAGCAAGTTGGCGGGGAATTTTCGACAATCTTTTCTGAATTGATGGTTATTCACTCAAACTTGCTATGATGGGGCATTGATTCTCCACCACTTTTTCGAGACCACCTTAAGCCCGAATCTTTCATTCAACTTGAAGCTTTTTTTAAAATCAATGTTATTGAATTCCTGATAACAAGTACCAAGGAAGTCGAGTGAATTTTGCTTTGATTATCGGGTTTCAAGAGATTTAGAGTTTGTACTTGATTGATGATCGGTTTCATGAACATCATTTCTAAAACACGACTACACCAGGATCCGGGTTAGTTTATTAAACCTGGAACGTCTGCGCTGTCATCCGATGTGAAGTGTCGATCGTGATACGTCCGTGGAGCTGTTCCATCTATAGCTCACTGTGTCTGTGGGGTGTTGGCTCGTCGACGAGCGCACGCCAACTTCCTTTGAGGCAGAAAGGGAGATCCTGTGCGCTCGTCGAGGAGCAAACATTCCTCTTTCGACTCACTTCACATTGTACTATTCCTCACCTTTTATTTTCACTGCGCGGAAATTGCGAGAGCGCCAAATAAGTGATTTGCTTAAATCAATTTTGTAATCTAATTGTATCAGTGTCTATTTTACTACACCTGGAAGAAGTTGATAGTACTTGCTTGGTTTTTGATCACTCAATGACTTTCACAACCAATGATATCCCAAGAGATTTGAGGGGAGATAGAACAATGTTTTTTTAAAATAGATAGCCTTGCCTTAGTTGAGGTTACTTTGAAAATAATTCCTTGAAGTCTCCCTACCGTACTTGCATAGGAAACTTTCGCATTTGCCATTGCCCATAACAACACATTGTTTCATGACTGAAAAACTTGTTCTATTATTTGTGATCTTGATCAAAGTGGCGAAGATTTCTTTGATCCTTCGATGTTGATGACTTCAGTTATGGGGTAATTGTGAAGCTGGACTCATGGTGACTGGACAACCTGTTTGGCTAAGAGCCATTGAAATGATGACTTCTACCTCTATAGCTTCATTCGTGCAAATCTCGCAAGTCTGCATCATTTCACTTGCCCGGACAGGATTTCAGTGTGTGTGCCTGCGGCTTCTTCCGACCCATCTTTCAAGTAACTAAGAAGGTTTCTCGGGGATAAGATGTATTTTGGAAGAATACAATCATCCAAGCAGAATATGGCTATCATATGGGCGATCAGAAAACAATGTGTCAGAGTCAAATATTTGAATTTATGCACTCATCTTGGGAGTACAATTTTTGATGTCATGATGCTTGAATTTGTGGAGAGTTGAGACAGAGTAGCAACTCCTTTTAAGAAACTTATCTGATCAGATCTCTAATTAATACAAACCCAAAAGCTGAATTTGTTTCATGAAGATCAATGACATCATTTACACCTTGTGAGATTGGGACCATGAGGTCATCTCAAATGACCCATTGAAATTGTTTATGCAAAAGTGTTTCACATGAACTAAAGTAGGGTATGGGCAAAGAAACATTTTGTAAAGTTATGTTTTAGAGTTTCTTCAATCCAATAAAAGTAGACAACTAGTGAAACAAGAGTATTGGTCAACTCCGTTTGAGATTCTTGTCTGTTGGTACATATGCAGCTATATGTTGTCTGGATTCACAGTGGATCTTCCAGGCCCTGTGTTGGAGTTGCACCTAAAAAGGGCCAAAATTGATTTTGCATAAAATTTACTTCACCCAAATCCTAGTGAACCCTGGGTTTCATCTTATATCACCATATTCTACTGAAAGAATGGGTGTGGCTACAGTTGGAGTGGTATACCCCACAACCAAAGGACAATTGCATTCTTGAACAATGGCCCTCATGGCTTTACAATTCACTGGTCCTGGGGCCTCTTCTTTGCCTGTAGCCAGACTTGGCATTTTGGTATGATGATGCAGACACACTGATCAGGACCCCAAAATGGACCTCAAACTTCCCCATAGAGGCTGGTTGCATAGAAAAGTTACTTTCAAGCTGAAATGGACTTTCAAATGTTAAATTTGAATGTGAAATTGTCAATTTTTGCCACAGTGGAATTTTCAAACTTTAAGTTTTGAATTTTTGACTTTTCAAATTTTTGAACCCGACCTTCAAATATGAAGATTGGATCCAAAAATTTGACAAATCAAAAAATCATGTGCCAACACTGCAGGTGACAACTTGTTGTAATTTCCTCTCCCAGGTCAACTCTATTTCCCTTTCACATTTTTTGATTGGTTTGATCTCATCAAAAATGATGTCTTTGCAGACATCATTTGAAGTGCAGTACTCTTGTTTTTCAAAGTAGATCAACATAGGACTGATGCAGGATTTATCCCAATTGAGAAAACCTATGAGACATCCACACGAAGCAATATACAACATAAGTTAGAAGGTTGCTTTAGTGTGATAATAAGAGTTTGATAGATCATTTATTTTGCAAACATAAAACAAACATGTACAAAGAAAACTAAATATCTTACATATGAGTCATCCACACAAAGCAAGATGCAACATAAGTTAGAAGGTTGCTTGAGTGTGATAATAACAGTTTGATAGATGAGGAAACAAACTTTTTAGACTCATAGGTAAATATTTATAGAAAAAAGGAAAACAAAATAATAGCTCAAGTTAAGAAAAACACTTGTGAGTTGTAGTGATGAGAGAAAAAAGGATCCAAGCTACATATCCAATGATGAAATGAAATGGCAATCTTTGAGATTTGCAGACACAACAAGAGCACAATACACAACACTGAAACAGGAATATCATAACACACTTGAGCGCATACATTAAACAACTAACAAACCCCACTTCAGACCATATTCATCGCACCAAACCAACCAAGTGTGTTTTGGGAGGTTCTGGGTGTTATGAAATGGGTGTTTCAATTCCTTCTAGCAAGGTGTAGTATGTTTGTACCTAGAATGAAAGGGAAAAAATGAAAAGTCCGCTATGGACAAGAAGATTCAAAGGCCACGTTGACCCCCACAGCCAGCTATTCAAAACTCAGACTTTTCAAATTTATGAAAAGTCCACTGTGGATTGATTCTCTTAAGAGATTTTGACTTGAACCAAGAGTCACATGAGGAAGCATTGATTAAGGGCTGCTTCATTGATAAAATGGCTTCAAGTATTCAAAGTGTCTTCAAAACCACTGTTTAGCAATGGTCTTGTGTCAACCCCCATGAGAGCTCAAAAGGAATCTCTCTTGGTGACCACCCTTTATAGTGGTATCCCTGGGTCCTGCCTGATACTCTTTCCCCCAACCAATGCCTGTGTTCAGCTGTTCCTATGAATGCTGCTTGTTTTCCACCATCCATGCTCTAATTACTTGCCTACACATAGTTCATTCTTCCACCTTGGTCAGTAAATCTACTATGATACAGATCAAACCTCCATGCATAACTATATACCTTCACAGTGTCCAATCCAGTTCAGGCTAGTCTGCTGAGAATCAATCAAATTGAGAGGCACAGCCAATCTCCTGTCATCATGTGAGGATGCTGCAGTGACATGTCAATTTCCAGATAAACAATGTGATATGCTTCTTTGATCATCTTGAAAATCATACCTCACAGCTTTTCTTTCGTCAACCAACAATCTCTTGCTATAGAGCTAGTACTCATTGTGATGTATCACCAGACTAAAATGCCCAAAAGTTAGACTCCAGCTTATGGATGGTTGAGGTACTCAAGCTTTGATGTGGATACCTGACACCCATGTTCCACCATATCACTTACTCCAAAGAATCAGGGAAGCTCAAGTTGAAAAATCCCTAAAATATAACTGTCCCTACATCAAAGTCTTAAATTTCTGAAACTGTGAAGAGGGTACCAGAAAGCCCCACCCGAGCACATTCCTACATGACATTTTTGACCAGGGTTTTTGGACAGCCTAAGAGGCCAAAGTACATGTAACTCTGTGTACTTTTGGGCCAACTTGGACCCCAATATCCCACCTGTTCAAACCTTCAGAAAGGCCTCTAAGGGTTGGGAGTTTAAGATGTCGTTGGCAATTTATCTGCCTTTTTCCTGGCAAGGTCACCATGGCCAAAAGTATTGGAGGATGAATTCACATGAATGCTAGATTGGAATACTCATGTCAAGTTGTGAATATTTCCAGTTTTGAAATTGTAACACCAGCTATAAAAGCTTCATACCCCTAAAGTATGTAAAGGATGGATGTAGGGTGAGATTTGTAGTAAATCTGATTTGGTCGATGCTCAAAAGAGTCACCATGTGTTTAGACAAATCATATCGTGCACTTGGTAAACTGAGCCTTGGATGTGATGTGTTGATGAGGAAGATCTCAGACAAGTTTGAGATCTTTGACTTGTTGAGTTGAGCCTATGATTCTCACCTGCTAAATCATGTCAGTGTGGAACACGCACAATGTCCTTTTCTTCATGACGCACTAACGACCCTTTTGGTACGACAGATGCCGCAATCAAGATGTCACGGTAAAGCACATATTCCTTGAAATGCGAACACTGACAAAGCAAAAAATGTTTTCAGTTTGCTGGAACATATGAATCCAATACATAAACTTTTCATCGAGCGTGGACACTGGATCATTGGCAGAAGACATCACCGAGCTGTCGAGCAGTTTAGATTTCCCCGGCTTGTCTGCGTGCCATGAAAAATTCCGAAAGCAAGGAAGAAACTTGGTTAGAGAGCCATCGAAGAGTCGGGCTCCTCGAGTATTTGGTGAATTGTGAAGCACGTGATAAGTTGCCGTTGTAGTCCGGCCTGCCCAATCTGCTAGATTGGGAATTGGGTAGAAACACCAAGATAGGATTTTCACTGTTGAACACTTCCCGGTAAAACCGAAGCAGGTTGATGATCATGAATATGTCCTCATTTCGATTCTGCCGCGAAGGCATCCTGATAATATGATGCAGGTTTGTCCAGACGTTCGGGTGGCTCTCGACCTTCTGCAACGGCTCGATCTTGTTCCTGGATTGTGGCAGATCGGCAGTCGCGAGGAAGGAAACCAAAATTGACGAAGCAGGAGATTCGAGGAAGGAAAGATCACGGACGTGAGTGATGCGAATATCGACCAGAGCTCCAGCAATCAGTCTCAAAGCGAAGGAAAGGAGGCGCACTATCTTCAACACCCGCATGTATTCAGCTCCTGCAGCAATGTTGGCATTGTGTATTTTCCAGATGGCCTACGGGATTGTGCGGTATCAACTTAACAGGAACGAAGTGCTTGAGATAATCTTGACTCTAGTACGTACCCACAGGCCGTACACCGAGACGGCCGCGCACGCTGGATCGAGTGGACAGGAGTCAACGGCTTTTCCATATCTTGCCACATGCTGCGAAGAAAAAGATCATCGACTCACTGGTCACTATAGCTCGATGGCCATAGTCTAGCAATGTAAGCCTTGGCCGAGGGGTGGGTGGCATCTTCTGAGGGACGAGATGAAAGTTGAGGGTGTCTCACTCTTCGGTATGCTCCTATGAAGGGTACAGATCTAGAATTGTGACTTTTGAGCTCGCGCGGAGATACGACATATGGGATTAAACAGCGTTCTCTTGGATTTTACCGGTTTCTGCCTGAATTTCAGAGTCGCTAAGTCCAATACAGCTGATTGAAAAGACTAAACCTGTCTTAAAGCTATGGGTAAAGCCAGGGACAAGTTTCCGAGCAAGCTCAAAAGTCACATTTTTGGATCTGTACCCCTTATAAGAGCATGCCGGGGTCCTGGTGTCTCACTCTTCACATCGATGAATGAAAGTTGTTGTGATAAGCATGGTAGTTGTATGTCACATGTTAAAATCGCTTATGGGTAACCTGTCACCCAAAGGAATGTCACCACTTTGACTAGCGGCAGCCAGGCCAACCTTTAACCGAATTTAGGCCAACGGTCAACCTGATCATCTCAACAGTTGATCGAATTCAGAAAACCATGCTTCACCTCAATCTTGTCCGTGATCATATATGGGCACTTAAATCATCCCGATGCCGTCCCTGGACTCAGTTTGAAGCAAAGCTGGTCCACCCGTTCCGTTCTCACATTTGCACTTCACGAGGCAATTCCAATTCATCATATACGAGAGTGTACGCTTACGAGGTCGACACACATGGTCAATTGTTTTTGACCGGCACGAAACACAGGAACTTTACATCTTGCTACAGTTCAGCTGTGTTCACTTTTCTCGATAATTGCACCTTTGGGCAGCACAAGTAGATAGGCTGATAAGCATCTACTGCCCGGATGAAAACAGAAGATCCATTGTTTCTCGATGTATTGCTTGGAAAGCTGAGACCCAATCTAACATCGGAAAAATATTCAGCATGCGAAAATTCACAACGCAAACGGTATCTGATGGACGGCTATCGATGGGTCAGTCGCTGTGGTCCTGAACTCAACTTTCTCAAAGCAGATTGCACACCGGTAGTGTATCAAAACCTTGTCAGCCATAGTGAGTCGCTCTCAGTCGCTCTCACGATCATCACTTCGTAAACTTGAGCATCCTTTTCACAGATCAAAATGAGCTCTCCTATGCCGGCACTCTCACAACGCCCTTCAAGCCTGAAATGTTGCGGGTGGATACTACAACTGGATATGTGTTCCATCCCTCACCAGGAGTTAGGGCACGTTACGGGAATTTCTCTCTTTTGAGGTCCTCCCTTGTACTTGATCAATTGGGCTCTTCTCTCACGCTGGATGAGGAAGCCAGTCCTGATGAGCCGGTGGGATGGCTAGATTGGCAAGGCTGTAAATGGCCCATAGAACGGCTTCATTCTACCGATCTTGGTTGGCCGTCAGATTTACATCAGAAAAAAGAATAGCTCATCAAGGCTGGTCAACATGTATAATATCTATTTCCCTTTGAAACTAAATCATTTGTTGTACTTACAACTCACAAGGCTGGTTTTATTCATCAGAAAAGCGCACCATTGTTCGCACCAGCTTCTACATTTCCGTTTGACATATAGGCAGATATTCGAAATAGTATGCAGAGTGGAATGGTCCAAAGCCGTCGTTGCCATCCTATCATCTGCCTTGACCATCATTATGGGTGTACCTTTTTGGTCAAGTCCATGCTGGTGGGTAAGATATGTTTATAGTATCAGTGAATACCTCTCGAGAGCAAGCCACAGAGCCGCCCAGCCGACGTGTCAAGATTCAAAATGAATCGACTGCTTGTTGCAAAGTATGGACATTATCAAGCAATCCAAGGACCTTACATGGAGATGGCCTCGCTCGCCTGGAATATATCGGCAGCACATATCTAAGTTCTTGGTTTCATGGGATCTGCTCAAGTGTCGTGCTCAGATGGAGGTACATAGAACTCATCGGGGACACCCTCACGAGTGATAACCTACTGAACAACTTGCACATCCAGAATTTGTTTTGAAAACATCAGTGACAGGCTGGCAAAACCAGGCAAAGTCCATTGGATTATTTCTAATCATTCCTATTTTATCGATCTCATTGATTGTGATTGGTTTTCTGATTTCAAGCCATTTCTGGACCGGAGTGTGAGCCTTGAGGTGCCAGCCTCCAGGCGCGGAATATGCTGTGTTGCCAACTTGCGCTGCTATTGTATTGTGGCCGGGCTGCGAGTGAAGCTTGCATCGAGGACCGGTCCCCGGATGAAGGATTTGTCAGGCGTCGGGTTACCCGGCTCATGGGACCCGACTCCATCATTGTGTTTTGACTAAACCTAATGATGAGATAGATTGAAGGCCGCCACTTTGTATCGGTACTGCGAATCAAGAGCACTCCCACTTAACCCTACCCTCACCCTTCGCACGCGCCCGACCACATCACCTTTCGCCGTATCGATCACCAACTCACCCCAGAATGCCTTCGGTTCGAGACATCGCTGCTGATGCTTTCATTCGTGAATACGCTGGTCATTTGAAAAGATCAGGTGAATATCCTTCCCTCGAAATCGAATATGGGTTTTACTTTATCCTCAAGAATTCGACATGATTGAACGCAACGAAAACCAAGACCGGTCATATGATGAAGGCCCATAGTTCATTCAGTTTCACTGATTCCATTCATGTTTGTGTTTGATAGGTAAAATTGAGGTTCCCACTTGGGTCGATATCGTGAAGACTGGCCACGGAAAGGAACTTGCACCTTACGACCCCGATTGGTACTATGTCCGTGCAGGTGGGTCAACCTTGTATCAGTTTGCAAAGGGCATCAGTCTGATATGATGACCAATCTTCGATAGCCGCTGTGGCCCGTCACATCTACCTTCGGAAACACGTTGGTGTCGGTGCCCTAGCCAAACTCCACGGAGGCGCCAAGAACCGCGGTAACCGTCCTTCGCACCATGTAGATGCTTCCCGATCAGTTGAACGAAAGATTCTTCAAGGTCTTGAAAAAATCGGTGTCCTTGAAAAGGTGGGAGTCTAGGCTTGCATACACGACTTCATTGTGTATTCGCTGACATCATAGACTTTATAGGACTCTCGGGGTGGCCGAAGGGTATCTCAAGATGGTCAGCGTGATTTGGACCGTATTGCCAGCAACATTGCCGAGCAGATGAGGTCTGGTGCTGAAGAAGATGATGAAGAGTAATGCAGTGACTTTGAAATACATTTTACAACTTATGCTCTATGCAACCCGCCAGGTTTTTTTACAATGCCACCCATCCGTTTCGTCGTATTTTTCCTCTGCAAGACAATGGAGACCGCTAGATTTCTGCTCGTTTTACACATTCATGATCGTCAAGCCCTGACCCAGAAGGGACGCTGAGTGAAGCCGCTCACATCCTCGCCCACCCTACTACCTTTCTTATGTTAACCTCTTTTCGGTGTGTGAAGTTGTGCATCATCATGACATCTTCAGCTTCATGCGATGAAGACTGCCCACTCTGCCAAATTGGGAACAAGTGCTAAGATATCCCTCTGTCTGGTCGAGTATTGAAACATTGTTTGTTGTGAGTCGAACATAAATCACGGCTCCTTGGAATGCCTTTTGGGCTGCTTTGCCCCTCTTGCCAACGTAGTGATGTTGCTCGTCATGAATATATCTCCACGGTGAGTAAAAAGGTCAACGTGTATATAATCACGCGGAACTGTCACGGGGCTGAGGAGGGATGGTCAGCTGTTGAGATGCGTGAGAATGTCTGCTGAAGGATTGACACATCTTCAAGCGGGACTCATTGCTTATCCTCATCATGATATGTCCCAACGATCAATGAGACGCATGTCAATTGTGGAAATGAGGGCTGAGCGTCAGCTCTGACGTGGTCACATGGAGGACAGCGTCATGGGGATTGAATATGCAAACCGACATTTCCCCAGTTCAGAATTCAGTAAACAAAGCAGTCAAAGGTGAAGAAACAGGAGTGGCGCAACCTTGACCACGTTGGTATCATAGGCCTTCTCAAAGCTATGTCTTGACTCCTAGAGTAGCTCTGACAACTCTACATGCTAAGTGACCTCCATATTTTGGAAAAAAATAAGATTATAGTGAAATGAACACCATAAGATATGTGAAGTGAATGCTGTCGAAGGTCTTACATATATCATGTACTAGATGAGGTCGAATTTGAATCCTTATCTGCTTCAGGCATTGCTTCGTCACGTTGCGTCTCATTTCCCTGACTATCACTGCGCTTATGGGACGCGTGGAAAAGCCCCGGCTTCCTCACAGGTCTCTTCGCCCTTTTGTGTCTTTTGCTCCGAGTATGAGCATCCCATGCGGCTTCTTCAATCATTACGGCTCTTTCTGGGTCCACCGTACAAACAGAGCAAGTCCTCATCTTCAACGAGCTCAATTTTTTGGGCAAACTGTGACCATCCAATCAAGTGTACGTCAGTAAAGATGACATTCAGTATGCGCTCATGATCCAATAGAGGATCGAGCGCGAATTACAGAATTCATACATCTGAGCTCACCTGGAATTTGAAGAAGACAAGAGACTATGAGCCACCGCACTGAGGGAGTCTGGCTGTGGAAGGACTTGATGATCTAGGAAAGCTGGCAATGTAAATCACAAAACAAGTAGAATAAGAAACCGAGTATGCCTAAGGATGAGTCGGCACAGTACCTTGCAGAATGCGCTGAGCAGGCAAAAACACATTTTCAGACCAGTGTGTCAGATCGGTGGCATCTAACAAGTAGAGTTCTACTTCAGACTGTGGCTTCGATCTCAACTTGTTAACTTCGGGTAAAAATTTGTTTTGCATCCATTTTACTTGAGACTTAGCGTACTGCCGAGTGGAGATTTTTGTCAGTTCTGTCGCTTTGTTGATCTTGATTTCAAACGTTTCTGAGTCTGAAAGCTCATCGAAAGCCTGACTCTCGCAGGCTTCAAATTCGCGATATCCTAGGGAGGGATTAAATGATCAGTTTGACCGGAGGTGCTTACACAGGAGATGTAAGGTCTCGCGTACCGATAGCTTGGTATGGTCCGCGTGATACGTCAGTCACTGCATCCATTGCTTGTTGAGACTGAAGCTTTTTATTCCGCAGATACTGAACCTCATCGACCAGGCCTTTCTGTGAAGAATTTGTTAGAACTAGAACTCTCAAGGAGGCACCTACTCCACAATCAATAATAGAGGTATAATTACCTTCAACATCTCGTCCACGCGGTCGTCGAGGCGACTTCCAAGTTCAGTGGGCTCAGCATACAACCAAAACACTAACGTTCGATACCTTCGAAGCAGAATATGGAGAGTGATCAAAATTGTATGAAAAGGCAAAAATTGTGTTGGAATTCAATTACTTACGGGGCGTGATTAGGTGAATCAGTCTCATCAGCAGCAGCATCCCTGTGGTCTTGTTCGGCCACTACTGCACTCATCTTTTTCCCAGTACATACAGGAACTTCAAGGCTTCTCCTCACTTTTCTCAAATCACGCCAATGCCATCGTTCTGACATCTCCGGATCGATAACTCGCAAGGCGTTGAAGAGAGCCAGACTGAAATCTTCCGCCGTTGCATTAGGAGGTTGAAATGAAGCCGGAAGGCAATGCGTTGGAAATTCGGGTGGAAAAGCTTTGGGCGAAGAAAAGGGAGGAAGAGACGGGGCGAGGAAGCACAATTGCAAGACGTCTGTAGATAATTTGTCAAAGTCTTCCACAAGGGTGGGAGGAAAGTTTCTTTGGGTGAAGTAACCGAGAATGTATTGCCGAGTAAGCTGAGATAGGGGCGGAAACCCGACTGATTGTAGAGCTCGGATGTCTTTATCCAAGCCAGTTGCCGTCGAGGAAGTATCTTTGCTTAACCTACCCGGCAAAATCAAGTTTTGGATATAATAGCCGGTTCCTCCTACCACGATAGGAAGCTTGCCTCGATCGTGAATATCCTCAGCCTGGTATCGTGCATAGTGAACAAATCCTGTTGGCAAATTAGATGATTTTCCCGACCGCGATATCAACTTGCAAGGCTGACTGTTTTGACCGCATCACTCCTGAACCTCTCTACGGTGTAATCTTCATCGATGTCCAGGAAACTGATGAGGTGGTGTGGGACGTCCATCATTTCTGATGGGGAAACCTTATTCGTCAAGACATCTAGTCCTTTATAAACCTGCATCGAGTCGCCATTGATAATCTCGGCCTGTAATGGACCTTTCGACGAGTACAAGTTATTTGATAACTGTATGCCTAATTGAGATTTTCCTGTGCCAGTAGTCCCAACAATCACCACGAGGTTTTGAGGGTCCGGTTTCATGCGCGGCGGACCTGATGTATGCGAAAGAAAAGACTTGAAGTGTGACGACCGATAATATTGCAGCCTCCTGAATACCATTTACAGGTAAATCATCTGACTGGAGCAGAAAGGGTCTGGAGTCTGGACTTCGGAAATTCCGCTCCTTCAGAGTCATCGGCCAAAACATGACTGACCACGTCCACATCGGGGCCGAATTTGTGACACAACTCGATTCGGGATCTCATCAAATTTGAAGAATCAAACGTCACTGTTCAGGATTAGTATACAACACCGTCTTGTGCCGTGCCAGGTCAAAAGCTCAAAAGACAATGACATACTTTCCACAGCTTGCCAGCGAGCCCACGACATACCCTTATTCAAAGCATGATATCACACTACCAAATCGATTTGACGAACCTATTTCATGCGTGGGTACATAAATTCACTACCTCAAGAGATAAGACTTTGATTGTAAAGGATACCGAGAGATGTCTTTCGACATCAAACCCTTTGGAGGATGCTTGGAGTTGCAGACAAAATCTGCTTGGTCTAGACATGTCTATCATCAAAAGTCTAGCTTGTATATCCACTTGAGATCAGGAACATCCAGAGTAGTGCAAATGATCAAGCTCAAATGTTTCTGGAACACACAAGCCATGTGACACAGACACTCTGGAGACTTTGAGATTTGGGTTTGTATGGCTGAAAATTGAAAGATGAGGTTCAAAGTCTCTTTGAGTACATTAAATCAGATCACACCACATTTTCAAAAGCTGATCCCAGACCAAGGGTAACTCAAACCTGGGTTTATTCAAAGAGAACTCTAACAGAGTTGTGCCTAGAAAAACTCCTAAGCAATGTTTGATAATCAAGTGTTGAATAATGTTGACTTCATATCTATATCCTACTTAGAAAGCAATATTTTGCAAGGTATTTTCAGTACTCAATTGTTATAATTTATGAGGTATTCTAAAATCTACATCACTGAGGTTACCTTGAATGACATATTTCTGGTGCTCTGCAATGTAACATTGCTTCTAGATCCCCGGATTTGATCATTCTAGTTTTGCAGGATATATCAAACATTTCTGGACCCATGTTGTTTTGTTCTTTGGTGTATGACAGATATAAACCAACAAGTATATGGACTTTTTTAGGTGTGCATTACAGATATGTTTCTCTTGTCACTTCATGGCACAACATTTGAGTTCTTCAGGCTCATATATAGAATCAGCTCTGTGTTACAGTGTTGTTCTCTTTCCCTATCCATCAACCTTTTCTCGTGCTAAAATCTCTGGTCATCAAAAAATCTACTTTCATCAGACTGTTGTCTGATCTGATTTCTAATCAGGTGTTAGTGATTACCTTGTTGTTTAAGTTCTCTGGTTTGATCAAATTCAAACCTTTTGTTGCACTACAGTCTCTTCATCAAATTGTACTTCTTTCAATCATCCCTCTACTTTCAGACAAAATTCTGATATGATATCTTACCGTAACTTGCACAAGTACCTGGCTCTCTTTGAACCTGCAGAGTCACACTTCTGTCAGGTGTCTTCTTTGATTTGAATTCTAGATTATAACATGCCAACTAATCCTCATTTCTTCTTGCCAATAGGTCAAAGATCACCTCCACAATCATGGAGGAACTTGCAACACAAATTGGACAAATTTAACGCCAAAGAGGATATTCAGGCCCAAGGTAAGGTCTTGTTTTACTTCCTTGCACTGATAGATTACTTTTACTCATCTCAAGGAGAAATAGAAGACCTGATTAGTTTGTCTGTATATTTCTCTTGTGTTGTTTTTATGACCTTTTCCAAACAATGAATACTTTGTAACACTATTGACTTTCCCAAATTGTTCTTGAAGTATTGTAGATCTGTGATGACTGATGGTCAAAATATTGGCAAAGGCTTTTGTTTGAAAGCAAAGATAATCCTGAGATCACATCCAAAGAAGTAGAGGATACCCATGAAACCCAAAGTATTCATTGTGAATATGTTGAGTCTGTTCTTAAGCCCTTCATGTGGCAATACACATCATGAAGATGCTATGTGATATTAGTCTAACTTCTATCAAGATTGGGAATAGGAATCTATCTTGTTGTAATTGTGTAAGACCATCTCTTGATCTCGTTACAACAATCAGAGCCTCTATTCTAAAGATACTTTGTTCCATATCTATAGCCATGAGGTCCTTGTCAAAGTCACAGTCTGATATGATAACAACCTGCTTAGATCTAAATATATATTTACTTGTCAAGCTTTTTTGCCTGTCCAAGGAAGAAGAACATCAGAGTGTTTAAACCTGTTACCCAAGGCATGTTTCTTCTGAAGTGAAAGATATTTTCAATTGTTAGAGGGAAGGGTATTGCAGTAGGTTTCTGGTAACCTAGCTTACCCAATAAGGTTTTGAGGAATGATTCCTCTTCTGTTGCTTTGAACAGAGCCTTTAACTCTGCTCTAGACAAAAAGTTAATGTTGAGGCTTGGTTTTGAATACGGGGGCGAGTAGATATCACACACAAGAATGGTGATGTGTTTTTCTCTCCATAATGCTTTCTTCTAATATGTGACCCTTTGTTAGAGCTCTCAAAGTTGCTTCCTGATGGACAATCCTCCAACTGATATCAAGAAGATCTATTGGTATCTGAGCACTTGACTCTGAGCCATTTTCTTGTCAAGTCCCCACAATAATCACTGATGTGGTCCCAAGGAAAGGGAAGAGAAAATTTCCTTTTTTGATGTGCTGGTCAAATGGTCCAGATATGCTGACTAATGGTTGATACAAATTGAGGTAGGAAAGATATGTAAATGAGAACTCAACTTGAATGGATGAAGATCTTGAGGAGAATAAGTGGATAGATGAAGAAGTAGAAAGACCATCAACTCTATTCAGCAAGTTCCAACTGATCAAGAACAAGTTGTGTTATCACAAGAAATCTTACAAAACAATTCACTGTCATCTTCTCATTTGGAAGATAAAAATGATAAATCCTAGTTTGATCCCATATTTGATTGACAATTCTTATCTTTCATCACATCAAATAGTTGACTTGAGCCTCATTGAAAAGGATGTGACTACATACACTGACACAGTTGTGAAACCTGTTGATTAAGTGGAAGGATATCCCAATCTTTATCTTCAAGCCTTCAATCATCTGACTGTCATAGCTCAAGTACTTGGAGTATTATTCCTCAAGAGAGTAATTAAAGACCCTGCATCCTTTTAATTTTTCACGTGGCTCTTAAGTGTGACTTGAGGTATGCTTACAAAAAATATGCCAAGGGTTCCAAGGATTGAAAGATCCCAAAGAAATCGCGAGTCCAACCCTCGGAGAAAACCACACCGAGACATGATCCCCCAGCTTTGATCTTTTCACACTCTCTGAAGCAAAAACCTAGGTCGGAGTCTGTCGTCGTCGAATGAAGATCTTCAAATTTATACATCCCTTAAGCCCTAGAGCCTTTTGTACTGTTAGTCTTATGCAGGGCCATGTAAGCTCTTTCTACCTCCTCAAATGTCCCTTGCTAGAGTCTGGAGGACGGTGTTTGTACGCACTCAAGTCAAATCCACAGATGTGATAGATTCTTAAAATGATATATCACATTGTAACGTAAGCGAGATGCAGTTGGTTTCAAATGATTTTTCAAAAAAGTATAGCAAAAACTCAAAGTGAAACCATACGTACATAGTGAATTGGTGTACATATTTGAAGATCAGTATTTAAGTATGATATTCTTTGGATATGCTTGAAATCAGATTAAAACCAAACTTGATGAAAGTTTTAATTTTTGATTTCGATTTGATTTTGATTTGAATTTGATTGAAGTAGAACTGAAGAACTCTAATAATTTAATACATAGTAAGTCTTTCTATCTCATCAAATCAAAGATTGGATAGATACATAGGATTAGGATTTGATAAAATAAAATAAAATAAAATAATAACAACTTTGATTTGGATTTCAGTTCAAGTTTTCAAGTTTTCAAGTTCTGGTCAACACCTCAACAAACCATCATCATCATCATGAACTCACATCGATTTTTAAACTTACCTCGATTCTTACCTACTTTGATTCCTACTCTCTTTCCTTCAAATTCAAAGGCTCAAATCTTAAACATTTCAGCCGATACACCTTCTAGTCCTACTTCACCAACACCTTCAACTCCAGTCGAATCTCCAACGATCACTACACCTACTCCACTCCCTTCTTCTACTACTACTACCACTACTTCTTCAACTCCTCTTTCGACTAGTACTCCGCCTGCTTCTACTTCTTTACCGGCTACCTCTAGTCTTCCGATCTCTACTACTTCTACCACTCCTACTTCTCAATCAATCACTTCTTCGCTCGCAAGTTCTACACAATCGATTCAACCTCATTCGAGTAGTATCATTTATCTTACAATCACTGCTACCGGCTCCGATGGAAGTATCTATACGAGTGTCTCTTCGACTGCTTCAGCTGTTCCGGTTCAAACTGGTTTGAGTAGTTCAGGTGGTGGTGGTGGTGGATCTTCATCAGGTGGAACTTGGGCAATCATTGGTGGTGTGGTCGGTGGTCTAGCAGCACTTGCGGCTGTGATCTTTATTGTCTTTAGGTGTACACAACGTCGATTCAGTGAACTTGATGATGAAGATGTGGCTATCAAATGGCCTGAACTCGTCAACCGAGCCGATGATTCGTCTACTCTCAATCCTCTTGCCGCTCGTCAAGCTGCTGGTCATGGTATTGGTGATGATGGTGATGATGAGAAGCCATCAGTGAGCCCACATCAGGTGAAGTCTCTTTCTACTCTTAAGCTCTTCATGCTCCTAAACTGACCTGTTTGGTTTTGCACATCCAGGGCCTATATAGTGACCATTCATATGCTCCCGACTTAAGTCGAGGTAACACGGTCCAAAGTGCAATGTTTAGTAATGGGTCATATCAGGGTGGACCAGGTGGATATGGTGAACGTCAAGCATATTGTAAGTTGACGAGTGATTGCACTCTCTCTCCTAATCTATCACGTTGATGTAACTGTCTTGCTTCTCAAACCTCTCAACTGATCACGCGTTTCTATCATTCTTCCTTGGGTGCGACGAGATCCAGACGACCCATATCTAGGTACTTCTTCAGCCCCTCAACCTTTCCCACCTTCGATTCCTTATGATCAACAACAACATCCAGCTTATCCACCCATCGGACCACCAGCACCTTATTCAACTGCTAATCGAACTGCCTCTCCAGGTCCAGGTCAAGAAGCAGATCCTTATCAGATGTCATGGGGTGGAGCAGAAGCTATTCCACTTACTGTTGTAGGAAATGGTAATGGAAGCTCTGGACCTCGTAGAAGGACTCCATCACCACCATAGCTAGGATAACATTGATATTGCCGAAAGTCAATTATGATCTTAAGTGTGTGTGTGTGAATATTGGTGAAGATGCTTACTGACCAACACGCTTTCTTAGTCTAAGCTTTTGTCTATTCTTGTGGATCAATTTCGAGACTTGCTCTATGAATTTTTTTTTTTTCTTCTTTTCTTTCTTTTCTTTCTTTCGTTTATTTATCTTTTTTTTAATATAGTTGTCTTTCTATTTATTTAGATCTTCCTTTTATCTTTTTTGATATGAAGGACACGGGTATGATCCATGATATGAAGGCTAGATCTTGCCTACTAATTCTATTACTTTTTTTTTAGTTTTTTTATATAATTTTATAATCCTTTTTATCTTCTTCTGAGCTTTGTTTTCATTTTTCATTATTTAAAGTTGTTTCTTCTCTTCTCTAGATCTCACTCGCTGTAACTGCCTTTCGTTTTTTTGATTGATTTTTTTTTTAAATTTTTTTTTTCTTAATAGAATGATTCATATTTTTGATAATCTAACTTACTTACTTACTATTGCTAAAGTTTTTTTCTCCTTTTCCTTTTTTTTTCTTTTTTTCCCTTACATGCTATGAAGTAATACACAACAATATAGATACTCACATTCATTTTAGTTTGATGGATCGTTTGGAAATCTTGGTTTAGGAATTGAATGAAGGATCTGTTGATGAAGTTTGAAAGACAGATTTTACATCAAGCCACAAGAACCTGAATACAGTGCCTTTGGGTTTGGGTAGCATTACAAGTCACTTTTTTCAACACTTCTATTGGATCTAACTTGAATATGTCCCTCTTCATCGCAGGCGTCCTCTGAAGCATAGGGGGACGTCTCTGCGGTTGGTCGGGCTTGTAAGGTAGGCAATGGATTGGGTACCACAAAATTATACTCATGAGCAACATACATATTCAGTCGGACGTGTCCTTGTGGCCCGTCATTGACCAAAGGAAATCTGATGGAGCGAGTTGGACCAAAAAAAGCTCAGCTAGTCGCTGCCATCAAGCCTCTGTTAATTTCAGAATTACTCGATAATGAAAAAAAACTCAAACTGGACAAGAAACAATCGTCTAATCTTTCTACATAGCTCTTTTAGAATGCCGTCGATGCGAATGTACCAAAGATAGCCTCTGCTCCTCAAGAACTTGAGATTTGAGTGAGTTCAAGGGTTTCGCGTCTCGATTGATAGCCGTCTGAAATTAGAAGAAGCGACTATAGTCAGGATAGCTTCAAAGAATAACTCAAATATTCAAACTCGATTTCATTGTGGATTGTCAACAAAGCTTCAAACTCGAAAATGGATCGATTTCGGGTATGATCAAAGATCGCTTATCTTAGATGAAGAGTGGGGATTTAATTTTTAAGAAACACTTTGATCACAAAAGAAAAAGATCTATAACAAAGTGAAATTTGAAAACTCAAGATTTGTCTAAGTAAGTCAAAAGGAAAAAGAGACACAAAGAGCAGAATTATGTCTAAGAGGAGTTGCTCAAAAATTCTATGTTTAGGGTAGGTGAAAGGGTTTAGGCAGTAGCATCCTTGAGGTAAGCGATGATGTTGGCACCTAGATAAGATTCAAAGACCAAAAGAGAAAAATTAGGTCAATTCATTTGATTAAGGAATGAGAAAATGGTTAAGCGGATTGATGACGAACGGTCTTTCTCTTTCTTTAAACCAGCAAAGGCCATCTTAGTACCAGGAATGTACTGAAAATGATCGATTCATTGATCAGTTCACAATTCAATTTCAATAACAAGTCAGAACGGAAGAGCTAACCTTTTTAGGGTCTAAGAGGTAAACCATCAAAGTTTCCTCGTTCCAAGTCACACCTTTTTTGATGTTAGCTTCAGTGTATCCGTAACCAGCAGCTTGACCAGTCTTTCGACCACTGAAGATCAAGTCAACATAAACATTAAAAAGAAATCAGAGATAGGATTCAAAAGTCGAGGGTGTTGGTAAGGTTTGAAAGATAAATCGAATCGATCAAAACTTACAATAGACCGTGAAGGTTAGGTCCAACCTATATGAATCAAAAGAATATATATATAGAATTAAAGCTGATCAGTAAACCTCGAAAGATAATTGGCTGTAAGAAAAAAAGATAAAGAAGAAGTTGATTTGATTTACCTTGTGAGGTTCACCTTTACCTAAGGTATGACATTGAGCACATCGAGTCTTAAAAAGACCAGCACCAGCTGAAGCATCACCACCCATTTCTTTAGATCAAATTGATGAAAGTTTGAGAACGGTATTCGAACTTGAAGAAAAGAAATCGATTGGAGGTTTTTGATTTGAAGAGGTGTGTGACTGTGTGTGGTATTGCCTGTTTCACCCACGATTTGAAAACACTTTCAACGGTTAAGATCGGAAAGTTTTTAAGTTCCTTAAGTGTTTGGTACACTTTTCTTTTTGCCTTAATTGGTTTCGGATCGGATCGTTTGACCAATCAGATCTCTTCCATTGTGCTGCGTACAGTTTCATTCTTGTAAAACCTGTCGCAGACTCACTAGAAGCATCACCAGTTGCGCTTCTTGACAATGACCCGTCGCTGTGCTGGTACGGACTGCCACGGGTCGGGTAATCCGATGTGAGCTCGGGAACGAGAAACCTCATGACCTGGTTGACCTCGGTCACCATTCAGGGTCAGCCAAGGCCCCCGACTAGATGACTGTTTGCTCTGTTTGTATCTTGGTAGACTAGTCTTAAACAGTTTTTCTTGTTCAGTTAGTGTTATATGCAATTAAGCAACAAAGCACTTTTTTTAAAAAAAAGGCCCGGTCTTAACAAGATTGGAGTTTCCTTTAAAACCTTTGGAGCATCCCCAGCTGTGCCACAAATTTGTATTGTACGGAGGGTCACACAAATTGTTTAGGGAAGTGTTTGAGCCATGAATTTTGAACAATGCACAGCCTTGGTTCCGTACAGTATGGCTTGTAGCATGTTTTGCCAAGTGAGCTATGGGTTAGCGGATCATTGAGGGATATGATTTGAAGGGAGTGCAGTCGTAGAAGTGGGAGTTATGGGAGAAGTGAGGTACAGATGAATTTAGGGAGCGAGCCAAAATAGAACAAATTGCTTCTATTTTGGCTTGCACAGAGGAAATTCCCTGAGCTACATGAAAATTTAGGGCATTGGCTGTGGATGATTTTGCCCTAAATTTCCATGCAAGACGGTTTACGCCATAGAGCTGTGAATGCTCTTAGTGGATGATTGATGAACAATTAATCAGAGATGAGGAGTAGGCTTCCAAGAGCTCTTCCTCCTTGTTTGGACTGGTGAGGGATGTTGTAAGGTTCAGGTAACCTTCACTGCAATACTTTGGACAGGAGACTGTGAGACACAGCCAGAGGTTTCTAGAACCCAAGAGATCCAATCTGTATTTCTAATACCAACAAGAACAGGCCTGGTTCCAAAGGATAGAGGGCGTGAGATTAGTCCCAATATCTCTTCTAGGAGTACAAGATGAATAATAAAGAGAATTGAGATAGAAAAGAGAAATATCCCTACCTGGTTCCAAAGGATAGAGGGTGTGAGATTAGTCCCAATATCTCTTAAGGAACCAGTCAATGAATGGGAGTGAAAAACAATTATAAGAGAGTTGAGCTTAAGTCTAAGTGTTAATATTTAGATGTATGTATATGTGATCGTGTGGTTGTGTAATGACCGCAGGTCTTACAGATGTGAACCTGAAAAGATTCAAAAGAATTCTTTTAACAGCTTGGACAAGAGATCCAGGACGTGAACTAAGCTAGAAGTGAGGAAATGGAAAACTGAGGGCACAGTTCCGCGTTAGACACTTCTAAGAAGCACGCTGGTCTATGCCAAGAACAAGATACTGACCTGCGAGCTCAAAGGAAAAATGAAGAGCGGCACGTGGAACAGGATAAGTGAAACAGACACAAGTAGTGATGATTATTAATTCTTTTCGACACAAACCTGAGGGCACAGTTCCGTGTTAGACACTTCTAAGCAGCACGCTGGTCTACGCCGAGAACAAGATACTGACCTATTCAGGTTCAGGGACAATCAGAGAACAAGAAAGAAAGAAAAACTATATCAGACTCTACACTAACTAAGAGAAAAAGAAAGAACTCAAACTAGATCTACCTGCAAGCTCGAAGGAAAAACAAAGAGCGGCACGTGGAACAGGATAAGTGAAACAGACACAAGTAGTGATGATTATCTGAGAACACGATCCAGAGAAAAAAGATTTAGGTAGGCAAACATTAGTGAGATTGTAAAGAAATCGTCTGAGGACAATAATGAGAGACTTACTAATTCTTTTCAACACAAAAAGAATTAGAAAGTGGAAGGGGGGGAAAACAGATATAATAAGAGACCCAAAAAAATTTCTTCATCCCTTGATACATCTCAACACAAAAACTACCCCTTGAGTACTCATTCAATTAATTCACCCTTGAATTGCCTTTCCCAAAAAGGAAGGAAGAAATCTGTAACGATCCTTATAAGTAGTCATTATGCTTGTACTGTAACTCCCACGCTCCCGTGGTCATATGGTGCTCAAGAGTCCATACAGGTCTCTCTCTTCACGTTGCAATCTCATTATCAAGTAGTCATCACCTTGCCCAGTTCCTCAGCACGATCATAACATATTGCAACATCTACCTATCTAACTGAACTGGAGCAACTAAAGTAACAAGCAAGAAAGATTAGAAGAAAGTTAAAAGAAGAACAAACGAAGACTATATAAGAAGTTTTTTTTGATTCAAATTAAAGTTTTCAGATCTAGATAAAGTTTAAAAGTTTAATTATCAGAAGGTTATTTATTAATACAACTTGGATTCACCAGCAACTCTGTCGATCTAAACCCGCACTCTACTACTGATTCAACTACCACCACACCTAACTTCAAAATCCCACACAACTCAGCCTCTTCAGAGGAAGGAGAAGTGTTTACCAAAACTGTAGAAGACATGTCTAAAGTCAATTTAGAAGAAATCATGAAACAACTCCAGGATCTCAATACCAGACTTGCGGAGGAGACTAGTTTAAGGCAAGCGGTGGAAAGAGAATTGAAGCAGATGAAGGAAGAGAAGCAACAGGATTATCCGATGACGAACCCTATGAGTCAACCGGAAGTTTCACTATTCCAAACTGCTGCGCCACCTCAGATCCCGGTCTACGCGCAACAAACCCAACCGCGCCCTCCGAAAGTTGCCACGCCCGATAAATACGATGGAACTAGAGGTCAAAAAGCTGAGATTTTTATGAATCAGTTAGGAGTCTATATGCAATTGAACTCAAGTTTGTTTGCAAATGAGCAATCCAAGGTAGCGTTCGCGTTGTCATACATGACTGGCAAGGCCAATGTATGGGGTCAACACTTAATGGAGCAGATTCTGGATAGTGAAAGAGCGTTGTTGGTAACTTGGCAAAAGTTCGTTGATTCATTTAAAGCAACATTCTATGATAGTGAACGAGTATCAAAAGCTGAGAAGGAAATTAGAGCGCTAAAGCAAACTAAGACGGTAGCAGATTATTGGATACGTTTCTCTGAGCTTTCGTTAATTGTGAAATGGTCTGAAGATATACTCAAGTCTCAATTTGAACAGGGGTTAAAGTCCGAAGTAACTATTCATATGGTGCGCGATGAATTCAACACGGTGGAAGAAATGGCCAAACTTGCAATTAAATTAGACAACAAAATCCACAAACGTAGCCCGGAAAGTTCGAACACAATCTCAGCCTCAGCACCGACCTCCTCATCGACTGCAATTGATCCCGATGCCATGGATTGCTTGGCCTACAAAGTCAATGTATCAACAGAAGAGTACAATAGAAGAGGAGCAGCTGGAGCATGTTATGAATGCGGGAAGACAGGTCATTTTATAGGAAGTTGTCCAAGACAAAGAGGAGCAAGGAGAGGTTACTGCAGGGGATCTAATTATCAAGGAAGAACAAGTTATCAAGGAGGATCAAATAACTCAAGGATTAATGAATTAGAAACTCAATTGAAAGCACGTTTAGATGAAATAGATGAAAAGTTAGGAAGAGGGGATAAAGAGAGGAAAGAAGACAGTAGAGCTGAAAGTTCAAAAAATGGAGAAACTTGGGGTTGATAGTTGTGCCTTCCTCGAGTGTGATTAATTTAGGATCTGAAGAGAATGTTATTGATAGTCTTGAAATGAATGATACCCCCTCCGAGACGGCCTTATGACTTCAGAGTTGATTTGGTACCCGGTGCCACTCCTCAAGCTGGACGAATTATACCACTATCACCAAAAGAAGCAGCAGTATTAGATGAAATGATAGAAAAAGGATTGTCAAATGGTACTCTACGGCAAACAACTTCACCATGGGCCGCTCCAGTCTTGTTCACCGGAAAGAAGGATGGCAATCTTCAACCCTGCTTTGATTACCAGAAATTAAACTCACTCACTATCAAAAACAAATATCCGCTCCCACTGACTATGGAGTTAATAGATAGTTTGTTAGATGCAGACCAATTCACAAGCTTAGACATGAGGAACGGTTACAACAACTTACGTGTGCGTGAAGGGGATGAGGCAAAATTAGCCTTCATTTGCAAACAGGGGCAATTCGAGCCGTTGACAATGCCCTTTGGACCAACTGGCGCACCGGGCTTCTTTCATTTTTTTATTCAGGACATTCCCAAAAGCCACATTGGGAAGGACGTAGCAGCTCATCAAGATGATATTTTAATCTATACAAAACCTGGAGTAGATCATGAAAAAGTTGTAAAAGAAATATTGGATATCCTGAAAGAGCAAAATGTATGGCTCAAGCCTGAGAAATGCAAGTTCTTTCAGAAGGAAATTAGCTGGGTCTAATAATCTCACGCAATCAGATCAAGATGGATGAAACTAAAGTGAAAGCAGTCAAGGACTGACCGGCACCGAAAAATTCATCTGAAGTATTGACGTTTTTGGGTTTCTCTAACTTCTATTGTCGATTCATCCACCACTTTTCCAAAATTGCCAGACCTTTACACAAACTATTTCAGGAAGGCATCAAATTTGAATGGACTGACGAAAGAAACACTGCGTTTGAAAATCTCAAACAAGCCTTTACGACAGCACCAGTGTTGACAATAGCAGATCCGTATAAACCTTTTGTACTTGAATGTGACTGTTCTGACTTTGCGTTGGGCGCAGTATTGTCTCAGGTGTCTTCTATAGATAACGAGTTGCACCCTGTGGCCTTTCTATCACGCTCATTGATCAAGGCCAAAC